GTTTTAAATAAACATCTGGAACATCTGTCTGAAGGTAATATGTGTTTCAAATTAATTTAACATCTGGAACATCTGTTTGAAGGTGACAACCTGTTTTAAATAAACATCTGGAACATCTGGAATCCACATTTCTTCTCACCTCTGCAGCCGCTGATGATGATGATGATGAAGACCAGCAGGAACCACCGAGAAGCTCCTCACAAAGCTCTGCAGAATGCGCGTGCAGCCCCGTCCGTGGAGTCCGGTTCCGTTAACATCCCACTGGATCAAGGCTCGGACGGACAGCCCGGTTCCGCGAGCAGCGAGCCGGAGCTTCCGTGTGTCAGAGGCAGCAGAGCCCGGAGGAGGAGACTGCAGGAGGACGGCTGCTAGCTGGCCCCGCGGCTAGCTGCTAGCTAACTACTTCCTGGTCAAGTCCTTCAGAATAAAAGCCCAGAGCAAAAATTAAAATCGGTGCTTTTCATTTCTCTCGGACACATTTTCTGGTAAAACACCGGCCGTTTCCTAAAAGCATGAACCAGAACCCCAGAGGATGGACGACCAGAAGATGTATTGTGCTGTAACTTAGGAAACACCTCAAGTAGACAAAAAAGTACTAAACACTGAACTGTTTCCTGCCTATTCGGTAAGAAACGTTTTTCTAGTGATAATTTTGTAAAATTTGACTTCTTTTATAATTGAAAGATGTTAAATCTTATAATGAACATAAAGAGATGTTTTCTCCAAATTATGATTTAGCTCATATTTACGAAACTCGGATTTTAATTATTCAACATTTTGTCACTAAACATGAAACACTGATTTTTTTTTTAGCTTTGGTTAAAATTATGTGTCTGGTTTGTCCATACAGATCATTTAATAGTTTAGGAACATTTTATAAAATAATTGTTTTATCTTCATTCCAAAATAAAATGTTGTAACATTTTTCCACATTTCTTCTGTCAACTTAATAAAAATAATTTAAGTCAACGTTTCATCTAATTATAAACTGATCTGACCGATTTTATTTCCTAATTTAAAAACGTTTTAAATAAAAACAGGTTGAATAAAATCATGACGAGTAATAAAAATTACTAAAAGGTTTCCCGCAGACTGGTACAGGATCTTTACAGAACACTACTGGCATCATTCAGCTAGAGGTGGGCAGGGTCCCAGTCTCCTGGAGAGAGGCACTCATCTCCTTAATCCCTGAGGAGGGGAAAGACCTGAGTATTGTGGCAACACATACCTGTACCCATATCTGTACTCATTATGGATTACAAGGTATACACATCTATAATTGCTGAATGATGTAGAAAAATCATGGCACATCTGACTGACGAAGATCAAACAGGCTTCTTCCTGGGACGTAAAACTCAGGACAGCATCAGGAGAACCCTCCACGTAGTCGACTCAATGCAATCCCACAAAACTAGAGCTATCCCAGTAGATGCTGAAAAACATTCCATAGTGTAAACTGGAACTTCCTGTATGCCGTACTTGAAAGATTTGGTTTTAATAAAAGCTCAATTAAATGCATAAAATCCATTCATCAAAATTCTACAGCGAGGATTAAAATTAATGGAAGTCTAACAAGCAGCACAGTGGTGCAGCTGGTAGAGCTGCTGCCTCTCAGTGAGCAGGTCCCTGGTTCAAATCCCGGTCCAGGGGTCTTTCTGTGTGGAGTTTGCATGTTCTCTCCGTGCATGCGTGGGTTTTCTCCGGGTACTCCAGTTTCCTCCCACAGACCAAAAACATGCATGTTAGGCTGATTGGTAACTCTAAATTGTCCCTAGGTGAGTGAGAGAGTGAATGGTTGTTTGTCTCGTTTGTCTCTATGTGTCCCTGTGATGGACTGGAGACCTGTCCAGGGTGTACCCTGCCCCTCGCACAGTGATTGCTGGACATGGACACTATACTATGTATACATATATATATACATATATATATACATATATATATATATATATATATATATATATATATA